TATGCTATCATATCCAACAACGTCGTTCAACATAGTAGTACTATTCAGCAATTTGATAAAAAGGTTTAACAACTATTTTTAGTTATAAACATCTAAGAAAATAAATTTTGTTTGCAACAAAGATTATCTGGGGAAATAAACAGTATTTATTTGAATAAAAGATTACACTTCATGAAAAGGGATATTCATTTAAAGAGAATTTCTTCTTTAATAAGTATTTAATAACAATGAAATCATGAGTACACCTCATAGCGTTTAGTTTATTCATTAAAGAGAATTTGGTAAATTTCTACATAAGGACTTGTTAAAGTTCACCATGGGCAGGGGATTTTCTAGTAATTTTTTTGTTGATTTGAACTTATTAGACCCTCAAATTCACTGCAATTTTAATATTTTTCGGAAAAAAAAATTATTTTAGATTTTAAAAGGTGGAGGTTCACTTTCACATTTTAATTCAATGTAGAATGGTCACCCATTTCCGGAAGAGTTAGCAAAATACTTCAACTCTACATCATAATAAAAGGTAAGAATAAAATTGGTTAAATATGTCAATATTGTATAACCCACAGGGTCAATCCTAGTCCACAGCAAACAAATATAACCTGTTAGTCTGGGTTTGACTAGGTTTGACCTTCTTGGTCAATCTCATGCTGTACAGTCACCATTGTGGCTCAACTGGTGTTGGTTGATGTCCTTTTCAGTCCATTTTGCTTTGCCCACATTGTGTTCTTGATCACGGGGCTGTTGAAATTGATTGATGGCAGTGATCAATGCATTGAGTCAAACGTCAGCAAACTGGCTATGGTGTAAAAAAAAAAAAAAAAAAAAAAAAAAGGAATGTCTTTTTGCATAAGTCATGCAAACAAAAACAGAGACTTGGATTAATTTTGTATTTGGTTTTATGTAGTTCTTTGGTGTAAAAAAATTAACCCGTCTCACTAAAGGTCTCTTCAGTGACGCTTTCGACTATCAGTGTAATTTCTTGGAACAGGCATTAGTCAGAATCTCTCTTCAACAGCTGGTCATGTGGGTTTCAGCAGCTCCTCCTTCATCCTGCAGCTGTTTTGATCACTCCTGTGCACTGCTTATATCGACTCCTGCTCAAAGCTGGCATGGGAACTGACAATGTTTGGGGATTCAGTGTTGGGGAAGAGATTCCAACAAGAGTTCTTTGTTGTTTAGTTTATAAAATTAATTATCTCTTCAAATTTGGGAGATCCCTTTTTCCTATGGGTAGTAGTTGCAGGTATTGGCCTACCCATAAAACTCCAACCTTCTCTTTATGCTTCACACCATTATTTCCCAATGGATGTAGGCATTTCCTCCATCTCTCTTGGTATCTCATCTAAGCCCTTCATTTCAGTTGCCATTTTGACAAATCCAATTTTTAATCCACACAATTAAAATGGTGTGGCTTAACTTCCAGTCATTAATTGTAATTGTCATTTTAACTTTTGTCAGCAAAGTTTTCCCAATTTCGTTTCTTGTCTTCATAATCAAAAATTTACCAGCTGTGTTCTTTGGCAGCTGTTAGCAAGTATTTAGTCTCCATAACTCGTTCGCTCAGTCATACTTATGAACCTTAGGTTTGGTTCTTACCTAAAGAAAATTCTATTTCTTGAGCTGTCTACAATCTCTAATCAGTTTTTTAACTTTCTCTATGTCCTCAAAAATTAACAAATATCTCTTCAATCAACTTCTCTTCCTGGCTGGTCACCAGAAAAAGTTTTTGTAACCTACACTTTTTAGTAGTGACCATAAATTAATTTTTCTATTTCTGCTTTATTTAGCAAATTTTGTCAGCCAGTTCTGAATGCCTTTCCACCATCTCTGCCCACCCCTTGTGGGTTTAAATTTTCCAGATGGCATGTTTGGTAATATCTTTTTCAGAACAATAAAGCAATTTCTTCAAGTCATCTACTTGCTTCTTTCAGTTTGTCATTTTCTCTCTTTAACCCTTTTTGTCTGGTCCAAGCTATTTTAATTTAACCCTTTCTTTCCATGGTAAATTATGAAACCTTCATGAACAAGTGCTGTCCTGGAAAATTTAGAAAATGTCCTGGAAAATGATTTCCTCAAAAGTGTAGGGACCCTGTGTTAAGGTTGTGTTGGTTGGGGAAGCCTAACATTAGGAGGAATCTGATCTACAGTTACATCTCTCAGTTCTTATGTAGACTGTTTTTGTTCCACTGCCCATGTCTATGGATCTCCCATCTAGTTCTTATTTTTAGTTATTACTCACCTTGTTTCAAGTACACACTGTCTGGCCCAGAGATTGAACTTACAATTACTATGTTAGCAAATTTATACACCAGTGCTTACATCTACCAGACTATTGTCCCAGAGGACAGTGGAAACAGTGAGCAATAACAGAGCAGTACTAAAAATAAGAACTAGGTGAGATATCCGTAGACATGAGCAGTGGAACAAGATCAATCCATGTCTGTAGATTAAAGAAAATGTTCAGTTCTGAATTCCCTCTAGGTAACCTGGATTGACA